TTCAAAATTCTTGTTCTTGTCGTTCTTTTGACTTGTATCTTGATTTGCGTCTTTTGAGAATCTTCATGTTCCAATTCAATCATTGCTGTAAATCTCTATCGTCTCGAATGCAAACTTTCACTTTGATCTTCATTTCAAGTCCGGTTTGTGATGTGTTATTTTGGCAAGTCTTGATCGATTTTAACATTGAACTATCATCACTCAAAATCAATTGTTAGAAACAATATTAATCTTGTTTGTTATAATCAAAACATTGAGGATGAAATCAACCATATGTCAACATCTTGCATAGTAGTGTTCATACGGGACTAGTCATGGGATAGTACAAAATTAGTCCGTGGGCACTAGGATGGCAAAGCATATTGGTTTGTTATGGTTCTCATTTCCAGTTATGAAACTTGGATCCCACATCAAAAGTATGAGCTTATACTTTTGATAAGTAAGATTTTAGCTTCCAACTTCAACAGTTAGCTTTTGATATATTGCTCTCCTAAGATCTATAACAACTTGCAGTGGTTTTGCCCTTTCAAACATGAATCACCTTCATGGGGGTTGGAAGGGTGACCAAAGTTTTATGAAGAATAATTTAGAAATTTTACATTTATAATTTAGATTTTGTCCTAATCTATCTTATAAATAGGGAGCGGTCATTAGAGATTTGCATCATCATTAAAAGAGACATGTTACAGAAGATAAGGTGAATGAGTTTTTTCTTGTAAACTTCTTTTCGTCATAGTGAATTAATACAACGGCATATGAGGACGTAGTCTTACATTGCGACGAAGCTCTATAATTCTTGGGTGTTCTTGTGTGTCTATTTACTTTTTGCCACTTTATTGATATTGATGGTATATAATTAGGGTTTCTAATTTTCAACGCATTCTCCTGAACCACAATAGCGTTTCATAATATTGATATTCCTACTGGAATCACGAACCTGATCGATTGTATAATTGAAATGATGAATAAGCTCCTGCAAGGGAGGAAATATTCTCTGCTACGAAAAGTATTACATGAGGCATTCTTTTGTCATCATGATCATATACCACATTCTGTGATTGATAAACCTTCCAATGCTGCCATTTTTTTGTTCAACTTCCTTGTAAATGCTCAATGGTTGAGTAGCGTTTAGAGCACATGAATATTTGGATCCTTTAGTGGGTGAAATTCCTTGTGTTCTATTTCTATTAGATTTCTGCAAATTTTTCTTTTGATATACTGTGTTAAACGATCGATTGGGGACCAACACTCTGTTATAGCAAGGAGGAGGGATTCACAGGAAGGATACAATCATATACAATAGTTCTCGCTTCAACGATATCCCCATTGCGGTTGTATGGAATTTCACCTCCATTTTTTACCACAACATCGGCATTTTCTAGTGTCAGAGCATCTCCCTGAACAATCACAGCCTTCAAGGGCAATGAGGCGTTGCCTAGCAGGATATATCTTGGAAATGTAGTTAGACGGTGGAGGTTTCTCCTTGAATCTTGTCTAATGTATTCACAGCGTGTATAAAAAAGTGGTTCTTTTCTTTCTAAAATGTCATTGACACAAATATTCGGACGAACCGTGTGCAAATTTTGGGATTTGAAGTGATAAAATTAATGAAAAGATGGTAATGGTCAGAGGTAGTGTTGGACGAAGGTGGAGTCGCCGGCGGCGGCGTTTTGGAAGATTTTTGGTGGGGTAAAGTGAAGTGAAGAAGATCAATGATTTTGGGAGTCTTTTTGTTATTTTTCATATTTTGGGGGTCTATTTGTTTTGGTTTTGTTTATTTTTTATTTTTTCATATTTTGGGAGTCTTTTTGCTTTTCATATTTTTTATTTTTTCATCTCCATTTGTAAAGATCAACTCTTTGGTCACGAAAAATGAAGCTAATTAAGAAGAGTGATGCTACATGTACACCTCATGCATTACACAATCCTTTACACCCCCTCACATGGAGGGGGGTCCACGATTATTTTATTATGTGTGGGCCCCCCTCCATGTGAGGTGGGTGTAAAAAATTGTGTAAAAGATTGTGTACACTTAGCATTATTCAAATCTCAATGCTCATTTAAGTTGATAAACCAAAACCATTGTGGACCCCCCTCCATGTGAAGGGATGTAAAGGATTGTGTAAAGAATTATGTACACATAACTTTATTCAATTAAGAAATGTGAACATTTTGTGCATAAATGAAAGCATTTTTAAATTTGAAGAGTAAATTTTTTTTATGTACTCCAACAAAGTCTCCATCTTTAGCTTTTTCATTTAGTTTTTCAAAAAAACAACTATAATAATTATTGCTTTTCCTCATTGCCCAAAAGAGATATAATCCAGTTTACTTTCTTTATACAAAACAAATTTTGATCTAAAACAAATATTGTACATCAAGAATTGATCTCCTACCTATGGCCGGTAGGAGTTATTTGTCCACCGCTGATATGGACCTACAATATTTGACAATTCAAAAAAATTGTAGGCTTGAGTAGGAGATTATTTATACGTACTCGTATACTAAAACACTCAGTGCATGGCATGATAAATCAAAATTTAACTAATCATATACGCAAAATAAAAAAGAACTTGAAAACTCACTCCTCCACCAAGATATTCATAATCTCTAATTATATTTCTATTTTTCTCAATCTCTTTTTACATTAAGTTATTTTCCCTAGTAGAAAGTTTACAGGGCAGTGCTCAAAAAAAAAAAAAAACGATATTCATACGATTTTCTACATACAGCCCCGAAACTATTAATAATACCGCCTCCTTATATCTTCGATTTTCTTCTAAGCTTAGGTTGACCGGGAATTCTCCTCAACTCAAACATAAAAACCAGCTTTCCATGAGGCCCTGTTTCTTGCCAATACCTATACACTGTGTACAAGCCATCATAAACGTACATTGTCTCTAGCTTACCTGAACGATTTGTTTCTTTCCATCCTCGGATAACACGAACAGGAGTCATCATTGATATACTATTCTTTAATGCCAAATTTCCTCTCTCAAGCTTCTGATCTTCGGGTTGCTTATTCTTCCCAACTATGTTTCCCCCATGTCCAGAGTATATCAAGACGTCAGCATTATGCTTATCACCAGTATAAACCCCAGCATCAACAACACTAATTGCAACTGATATTCCATTGTGCTTCATTGAATCTATACCTGTCTGGTATAGGCGGTGAATACCAACAATAGCAAGCTCGACTCTGTATTGAAATTCATCCCCCACTTGAACTCCCGGTACTTCTCCCAAAATTGGCTTGCCCGTGTTAACTTCCTTTTTTGCTTGTTTGATAAGCTTTGCTGCGTGAAGATCAATCCTGTTGGATGGATTCTCAGACTTCGCTTCATCTTGCGAGTGCTGTCTGCAAACAGAACGAAACAATCGTAGAGTCTCTATCACTTTAGTACGGGCATCGCCATGACTGGAGCATTTGAGAGGGATGCTAACATCAAAATCATGTGGTACATAGCTGGCATGAGTCTTTGAGAGTAGATTTTCATCATGAACACCATAAATTTTTTTATCCCCGAGGACCAATGCGCCCAGATGTCCAACAGGAACAGGAATTTCTTTCTTCTTCATGGATGGTCCCCCTGAAATGTCTCTCTCAATTTTACTTCTTTTGGCAACAGCTTTGCAATTGAGTCCCCACCATAAAGGCTTCTTTCTCACATTTTCTCCAATTCTTCCTCTAATTGTTTTGGTTGCTTCAGTTCTGACTTTATCCTTTTCAACTCCATCCACAGATTGGGTTTCAGATATTTTCGGTGTCTCCATCAATGCCCCTCTTTCCAGAGTTTTCCTTAATTTCCGAGTCTCATCCGTTTCCACTTTAAAATTTTTAATATCCACTCGACCTTTTCCATGACTAATCATCTGCCGTCCTTCGGTAGGTTGAGGAGCATTTGGACCACAGAACAGAGGAAAATCATGAACAGCAGACACTCTTCTACGATGGAATTTATCCTTATGCCCAAAGGAAGTTCCCAGCTTAACACTGTCATTACAAATTGGCCCTTTGGGAGATGACAACAATTGAGAACCACCAATTACCATGACAGGTTTCACCTCCTCTGAATCTATATACTTAACCAAAGCCAAATCTTTCGCCCTATTTAACCCCTCCATAGTCTGACCTTCAGCTTCAATCACTTCCTTAATTGAAATATCTTCCAAGTCATTATGCAATCCTGCATTTGCCTCCACATTGTTGGCCATTTCAGAATTTTCAACCCTATTTGACTTCATATCAGCAGTTGCAGAATTCTCAACATCATTAGACCCTTTGGAAGTTATTATACCGCCACCCTCCACAACACTGGCCCCTACATGGCCATTTTTTTCAAATCTCAAATCCAATGGTTTAGCATTGGGGCCACACCCAGGACCCTTTAGGGCTTGACGTCTCTGAAAGGACCCGAACATGAAGCCGTGTCTTGGTTAAAGGTTACTCCTATTAGGAGATAAGCTGTACTGTGGGAATAGATATTAGTTATTGGTTTTAAGGTAGTTCGGATTCTAAGCAAAATTATTGACAGCAACAGCAAAAATTGAATTAGGCTCAAAATTGAAAATTATTCTTCTTTGATTGGGCTGATTGTCAAATGAAAGCAGGCAAATACACAGACGCATATTCAGACATTTATATAGTAGATACAAGCACTAATAAATGCGAAATCGAAATCGCTAACCATAGTGAAGACAAATTAGGGCTCAAAAGGACAAGAAACGAACAAAAACAAACGCACGAGCAGTGGTGGCAGGCAAATACAGCAATGCAAATTGAGACTAGCAGGTGCAAGCATTAATAAATGAGAAATTAAAATCACTAACTACCAAAAAAATTTTGAACAAGGACTTAAATTCAGCAGGGAAACTTACACTACCAAAAAAATTTCGAACAAGGAAATAACATAATAATATTATTCATCCATTTTGGAGTGGCTAAAACATGTTCGAATAACAAATATGGGGCTGGAAATTTAATTAACAGGCCATGCAATTCAAACAGCATTAATAGTACAAACATTGCACAGATTACATGATTAATTCCACGAAATAACAAGAATCCATTCATTAACCAAATTTCCAGGAATTAAATACCATTAAGCCTTAACCATATTTGGAGGAACAAAACTTCACGAATCAACCTACTTTATATAAGCATTTCCAAGAATTAACAACCAATAAGCCCATTAAACAATTTTGAAGGAAACAAATTCCATGCGCGCATAATTTATACTCATAAAGTAGAAATAAAAAACACACTCACACACTCTACCTGATACGAAAGGTGCTTAACTGAACTGATTGATTTGAACTTTTTCCCTGAAGGTGGCGTGGATCCCTAGACGAACTGCACGAAAAGAGAATGAATTTCACAAAATAACTCAGGAAAAAAAATTGAACCACATAAAAATTTCAAAAAATACAAAGAGCAAAATTGATACACCAAAAACCGCTCACCGATAAATCAAAACCGATTATCGCAAGTACAATTAAAACACGTATACACACAGTGTTTACTCGTAAGTATAGATGCATGTGCATACGGAAAATGGAATTGAAACACCGATAATTTTGTGTAACGGTAGCGAGCGAGAGAGAGAGAGGGTGTGTGATTCCGTAAGAAGACCGTGACTAAACGAAAGAGCATTCTCATGTGACTTTCTATTGGGATATGTCAATTGTGTCAAATCCTTTGAACGTCGCATCAGTCAAGTATACAGAGTGTGTCACCGGGTCGTAGGCTAACTTTTTCAAATTCAAAATGGGTATTTGGTATGAATCAAAATTAGATATTTTAGTAATATGTAATAGAAGTTTTTGAAATGTCTGATTGAAAAATTGTGGAATTCATGAAAAATATTGTTAATATTGATTGTTTGATTTTGATTTAAATTAAAATTTGATTTTAATCCGAACCAAACAGGTCTCATTCTCTTGGTAAAATAATTGTATACGTAAATCAGATCTTTTTTCGATCTTTTTTCGATCATTACACAAAATCTATTTTTCCAAAAAATAATGGGTCAGACAAAGTCATAGGTCAGTCATTTATTATAGCGAGAACTGTCGAAAATTTTTGGAAGGCAAAGCAACATCGAGATTAATAAATATTCATTCCATTTAATTATTTTTATATTAATATTATATTAATATTTTAAATACGATTTAAATTAAAAATATATAAAAATAAAATAAAAAGTTTCGAATTCAAAGAATTCATAGATCAATTTGGTGAGACTTGTGACCCAACGCAGGCTACCAAAATGGACATGTACAATGCACATGGTTTCTAAATAAGGAAAAAGTTTTATGTCACGTTACTTGAGACGCGTTTTTACTTTTTGTGTGTTGTTAATTACCGAACTTTAATTTATTTCACTTTGCTCCCTTGACTTATATTTTTGTTTCAATGTAATCACTCAACTTGTATTGTAGTTCCAATTTTACTATTACGTCTATCGATGGAATTTGCGACTTGTCGATGAGTTAAGTGGCTCGAATCAGAAATTCCATCCAGATGTTATGATTAAATTAAAACAAAAACAAGTCGAGCGATCAAATTGAAATTTTGATGACAAATATTAAATTTTTATGTCAAGTAAAATTCAGTAAAATATTATACTACTAATGGTGTGTTTGAGCCACTTTTTGGAAGAATGTATTTTTGCATAATAGATTGATGGAGAATGTGTGGTTGAAAAAAAAAAGTTATTTATGTGATGAAAAATATTATTTTATTGAAAAATGTGTGGCTGAAAATGAGTAGAAGAATGATAATTGAAATTTTAATATGACTCAAACATAGGCTAAATAAAATGAAATTTTAACCCATGTTTGGTGTCCATTGTTTTAGAACTCTTTTCATTACTAAATTATTTTCAATTATAAGTTCATATAATAAATTATTCTGCACGTAAATTCAAAATTTTTTTCTATTTATTTAATTGCACGTTTTCCTTAAAATACTATTTAAAACTCCCCCAC